GTACTTGAATAAATAAGCAATCTTTCATTCTTTCGTTTTATTAATTCATGAAGAATGTATTTAGAGCTTTTAAAAATATCTTTTATATTTATATGAATTTGCTCATTTTGTTCCCCTAATTTAAACTTTTATTTAAAAAACATTCCAGAGCACTATGTGATTTGATTTGATGCATGAATTTACAACACGTTGTATATATGTATATATAAAATACACAAACTAAAGCAGTGCTGAAAAGTTCTGTAAATACTCTTGCTACTTCATTTTGTAAAGTTTACAAAAGTCCAAATAGAAGAGTACATCTAATTTATGTAAATAATATGGAAGAAGTAACAAAAGTTGATAATGTAATAAACCAGGTTTAATTCTACTCCATTTTGAGATTTAATTATCTTCTAGTTCAAGAAAATAAAAAAATTTATTTTCACAATGTACAGTATTAGAAGTGAGCAAATACTAAAATATATACAAGTCATTAAAAGAAAAACATAATTTTTAAAACTAGTGGCTTTACAGGTAGAACATCCAGTTTAAACAAAGTATTATCCTGGAAATATAGATGAGAGTATAGTGCTATATTATCTGCCAATCTCCCATCACACCTTGCTCATTCACTGGTATTTGGTTCTAGAAAATACTTTTGATGAATGCCATGCTTGGTGGAATCTACAGAAAATGTGGAATCTAGAGCATCTAAGGTTGGCTCCTTTCAGTTTCTGGATGAGAAAAAACTAAGAGAGACCACTGTCAAGTATTAAAACACATGAGGCAGAAACTAAAATGCTAGCTAATAAATATGTAACGAACATGCAACTGTCACATCTTAAAAATGCTTTTGTCCACATGCAGTCCATTCACAAGAAAAAATTTCATAATCAGAAGGGCTTTCATTCCTTTATTATAAAAAGTAAGTCAGATTTTGACACCTCTGAGTTAATATAACAGTTCCTGGCTATAAAACCACATGTGATGTTTTAGGCCAGAATATAGTGAATGGCCAGCCACAATCACATGCATATCCAAACCCTGGTCCAAAGGCTGCCTCATCTCACTGAAATGTCCTGGAAGTGGTGAAGGCAGGCAGGGTATAGAAGCCACACAGGGACAAAAGGAGGAGAGGACACCGGGACCACTTAGAAAGCACTTTTTCTCCATTCTGTGTCAGTACTTTTCCACCCTTAGTCTTTTTTCCCTCCCTCTTCCAACTATATTTTGAAGGGTTAATTTATTGAATAAGCCCTGTTGATGTGGTTATCTAAGAATGTTAGAATATTACATTATAAATCTTACAGCGGAGTGTACGAGATAAAGGATATACATTCCTTCCTTACCCTCCTGAAGTTTGGCTCAAGATATCTCAAGGATATTTTGGCAAATACAACTTGGTTGTTATTCCTAAATCACGAATTTTCAAACAAGGGATAACATTTTATTTGTTTTTATAGATGCTTCAAATTTCTTCTGCATTATTTCAATTTTAGGCGAAAAATGTGTCAATAAAAAGCCAGATTGCTCTTTAAAATTTTTTTTTTTTTGAGTCTCATTACACAGTCCAGGCTGACCTTGAACTCATTACATAGCCTAGGCTGGCCTTGAATTCTCAGCCACCCTCCTGCCTCAGCTTCCTAAGTGCTAGGATTACAGGTGTGCACCACCACACCTGGCCTCTTTAAAAGAGTGTTTTTTGCATTGAGAATTAGTACCATACAAAAATACATGCAAAAAGAAATACTAAACAAAAATTTAAGGGAAATTTAAAAATATTTTATAAAATATTGTTTAAGGATCAACTATTCTTAAATTCCTTGTGTGAAAATTCTTTGATTTCTCAATTCACATTTCTTTTATTTAAACATTAAAGGAAAAGTATGCTACATCACTTATTTTATAATTATTGCAAGTATAATATAAATAGAACATAAATATAATATCAGAAATATTATAATTTATATCAACATAAATTAAACATATATATGTATGTATCTATGACTATATATACATATATGTATATATATATGACTCCCTTTCTCTCTTGTTATATGTAGTAAGAGAGCGATAGAGGCAGCCATCTTTACTTGAAAAATGACTGAAATCTGGGGAACTACCTGTCTCTGGATTATAACATTTGCTTTTCATTCATTTTATGAAAATTATGGATAAAAAAAACATCGCTTAGATTCCCCCGGTTTTCCTATGTGTGAGCTGTTTGTGGTTTGAATGTTTCTGTCCCTTCCACAGCACATGTTGAAATAATTCCTAAGGCTCAGTGCTGAGAGGGAAGATTGCAGGCTCTGGGCTTATGGATTCATGTCTGTGAAAAGGCATTGTCAGGGCCCAGGGATTTAGCTCAGTCATTTCGTTGTCACCTGCTGCGCAAGCGCAAGGACCTGAGTTCGATCCCTGGTACCAAAAGAAAAAAATAAAGGCATTGTGGGAGGAGGTTTTCTCTCTTCCACTCTTTGGCCATGGGAGAGCCGGTACGCCTTCCCTTTGTGTGGGGCAACACTGAAGGGGCCTTTCTGGAGCATTACCAGTCCCTTAAGGGATCCCAGACCAAACAGACTAAGACATGAACCTATCTATTTATTCCATTAGCAAATAACTATTCTCCATCTATTACACACTACAACATAGAGTAAAATAATTAATTCAGCCTTGTTCACAAGGAACTTTAATCTTAAAAGTAACACTAAATGCCAGATCTTATTCCTGGCCATTATGGATTCACACTGGGAAAGAGAGCATTTCTTAGAAGAGATGATACCTGATAAAAGTCTTAAAGTATAATTAAAATTTATTCTGGCAAAAAGAAGAGGAAGTGAAACACAAAGATACTTTAAGATTTGAACGTATAGAGCTGAAAAATAGGCTAAAGTTTGCTGAAAATTTCAAGCCATTTGGTTTTGTTTAGATTTGATCTTATATTAATTAGGCAGTAACAATGGTAGGGTTATTAGACAGGGTCATGGTTAGGCTTCATTTACCAGAGTTCTTGCAAGCATTTTGTTAGGTGAATTAGTCAGGACTGGAAGACAAGGAGAGAAGTTAAGCCCACAAGCTCCTAAAAAGGAGGCCTCAGGCATCTGAGAGGTTTGTGGATAGAAGTTTGCAAGTCCTTGAACTTGAATGTTTTGAAATATATCTCCACAACTTTTTAATGTAGCAAATTTGAAACTGTATACACACTAAAGAGTTACTCTCTATTTCTCTCTCACCTCAGGAATTGGCAGCTAGCATTGTACATTCAGTTTCTTTAAGTATTACTACTATAAATACTTCATATAAACGGAATCATACAGCACTTGATGTTTTGAGACTGCCTTGTTTCCATTACCAGAATAGAACCATAGGTTACTGACAGTGAAAGAATACTTAATTCATTATCAGATATGGCCTCATGCAGTACATACAACATGTCAGCAAATAGAAATACTGTGTAAGCATTAAAACTTTGACAATTGGTGGTTAATTTGTAAAGGACCACTGGTTATGAACCCATTCTGCATTTATAATTCTTGCACCTGCAATTATTTGCATGCAAAAATTTGCAGCCACAGTTGCCTAATTACAGGCACAACCATCCAAATTAGCCCTCAAAAAGAGCAGCACAAAGAGATACCATCTGGGAAACTGCAGCAAACCCCTCTGACCTTTCCTGCTCCAAATCCTGTAAGGCTGGTGGGTACATTTTCCTCTTGGCTTTTGTCTCAGGCTTTATTTTTGTCTGATCTCATTCATGTCTTACAGGCTAGTCATTCAGATAAGTAGAGTTAGAGAGGCCTTTCCTCTTGCACAACCAAAATGCTTCCACCTCTCCAAAATAATATGTATCATAGTTTAGGCAGACTAACAACAGAAATTGTCTCTGAAGTGCATCATTTGCACTGCTAGTTGAGAAGATTTGATGTTTTTATTCACATGCTGTATTACATAGTAGGTCAGCAGATTACTATAAAAATAGAATCTCATATACATTTCTGCTTAAAAATAACAAGAAAATTATGTTACTCCACTTTTTGAAAAAAAGATTTTAGCCATTTTTTAAAAATTATAGCTGTCAGTTTTGATATATTTACATTTTCCCATTATATTAGTAGGACCATTATGAAATTTAATAATCCTCTCTTGGAGTTTGATTTCCTACAAAGGATCATAATACAATCAGAACTGTAGCAAATAATTATTGAACTAAGTGGATACAGTTATAATATCAGGTGGGAAATATGTAATAATACATGAGAAATTTAAAACCTGAGTTAATACTTGCTAAAGATTCTGTTCTCATACAAATGTCAGTAATAATAAATCTGGAGCTACCACAGCTTGCTCTGTAAAAATAAAATAGATTTCAGATAGAGTAATTTTCAAAGCTTTAGATGATAGTTCAAATATTTTTTACCATTTAATCATATTAAAAACTTAGAATCTGCTAAATTCTGGTATAGAAATAACATATGTTTAAAAATTAGGAAATTTAGTAGTTTATTAGCCTAATGACAAAAATCAGAAGGTAAATATGCTTCTTTTATATGAAATCTATATTCACCAGTTCTCTAGAGTTTGGAATTGTCATAAAATATTACTATGAAGCTTTAGGGAAATGTAAATATTTAGAAATGCTAAGTGTTCAATATTTTTATTTAATTTGTTTTACTTTAAAAATTACAGTGAATAGAAAAGTACACTTTTGTTTTATTATCTTTGCCTCAGTGGTACATTTCGTGGAAATTGGAGGAGAAAGACATTAGCCTTAAGTTTAAGGTTCATGGCACACCTGTTTGGCCATTAGAAATGAAAGAATAATTTAGATTGAGCCAATAGGGACCATGTTAGGAAAATGAGAATTTGTGAAGGGGAAACATCATTCTAGAAATTGCTGAATATTCAATGGGTACCATCAAATTTCAAAATATTATTAATGGCATGATAAACATAGTTGTTCATTTTTCACATAGGGTAGAAGAGCATTCTGAGATATTGCAAAGGATAATGTTACTCACATCCGGAGCTTCCATTTGTTGATACCAGAGTCAAGTTGGAAGGCCATGGATTCCGAACAATATCTTGCCAATGAATAGTGTCTGCATAACAAAGGAACTTGTTCTGGTCTACATAGACGCCCCCATTTAGAATTTCTATAGAGAAAACAAACACATTTGTTGTCAAACTATTTGTTGAGGAAAAAAGCGGTCAATAAACATGATTTTTTTCAGATTATTTTCAACGTTAAATTATAGGAAGATTGTTAAGAGCCAAGATACCTTTTAAAATATCTTTCATTGATTGTACATTGATTGTAGAGATTTTTAAAAGATTGAAAGTACAGAAGAAAACAAAAAAACACCTAATTCAGACAGAAACACTCTTAACAGTTACATATTATATTAGTTTATTTTCTTTCTTCCTACTGAAATTGGACTAATATATAAGTATTGCTTAATTTTCTAATTTGGTTTAGTAATCTATAGTAAGCATTGAGTGACATTTACTATTTTTATTTTTTTTAATGAAAATACAATATGCCAGGCTACAGGTTAAATAATAATTACTTAATTATTTTTCTCTTGTTCTTCACTTGTTTATCTCTGGTTAATCTTTGAAATAAATTTCACACATGCCATTCCAAAGGCATAGAATGTGAATGGTCTCAAGATTTTTAGATAAAGTTTTCAAATGTCCCTTTAGAAAGATCTTTTAGACAGTGTGACATTGGCTGGATGGGCACAAAGTGGAAGCTGAAATTAATGCTTCTAACACAAAAATGTTCTTTTGCATTTTAAAGAGAATGGATAGAATGGCCAATTATATGCAAAGCAAGAAAAGAGGTGTGATCTAACCATACAGTGAATGGTTAAAATTTGAAATACTTGCTACAGTAAAATACTAATTGCCACAGTCATTTATTCTGCTCAAACTACTCCCTCTTGCATTGAGCACACTTATCCCATCATTCTTGCACTTCCTCAAGCAGTTCTAAAACCCTTTTTTTTTTTAAATGTATTTGTGCTGTCCTGGCTGCTTCAGTGTCCTGAATTGATTCAAAACATTTACCTTTCATGGTCATTTTTACTTTGGGTAAGAACCAGAAGTTGCATAGTGCAAGATTCAATGAATAAGGTGGCTGAGGACACACTGTAATGTTTTTATGAACCTACCTTTCCATTGGATGTCACTTAGCCACAGAATTCACTGTTTTTTGGTCACACCTTGTAAAGACACAAAAGAGGACTTACAGAACTGTTGCAGAAAGTTGTAAGCATGAGGGGATAAGTGTGTTTGGAGTGAGGGTAGTATTTTAAGGGGATTAACAGCAAAGTATAGTTTATTGTAATGCATATCTTTAAACATTCGCTGTAAATTTTGATCACCCCTTGTATAATAAAAATTCTGTTTCACTGGGCAAGGAGAATGGCCACAGAATAAAGTATACTAATGCCGATTTCTCCATGACTCCTGTTTCAAAACTGGCCTTGGTTAGTTAACTTGTCCCCAGTAGTCAATGCCTGACCACATAATGGATTCTCCTTCCAACAGGTATGTTATCCAGTAAAAGATACTTTCTTTAAAAATACTATTATGTTTAAAGAAATTGGCTAGAAATACACATAGTACCTGCCTGTCTAATATCTGTTTCCCTTCATATCCAATACAAATAGAATTTTAGAATAATCATGTAGTCCATAACGATTCCACTACAAGTAAAAAAGCAAAGCATAACAAAATTTAGATCACAGTCATTTAAACAGATAGGGGCTTATTCCTTTGCACAGGATAAGAACCCTATTAAGGCATGTACAGATATGCTCCAGCTATTCCACAGTGCCCCTTTGCTTCTTAGCTATCCTTTGTGCTGGCTTTATTCCTTCTAGCTCAGGATAATTGCTTCATCAAAAACATCTGCTCTGAGTTGAAGGTAGGAAAGGACAGAAGAGGAGGGAAGAAACTTTTTCTCCCAGTGAAGATTTTTTTGTTTGTTTGTTTTTTGAGACAAGGTATCACTATTTAGTCCAGTGAACTCACTATGTAGCTCATGCTGACCTCCTATTCCTGGCGATCCTCCTGCTGCCTCCTGAATGCTGGGATTACAGGTGTGTGTGTCACCACACCAGGCTCTCCTAGTGACTTTCTATTTGAGAAGAGACACTTTCTTCATGGATTTTATATGCATTTCATTGGATAGAACAATAACTTATGGCTACTGCAGGAAAGACTGAGGAAGCAATTTTTTAGGAACATATCGCTAGAAGGGATGTGGCTAAGCATGCAGAGGGACATAGTTACTGGGAAGGACACAGACTTTCTTCCAGGGAAATGTTGACAAAGTCATCTGTCGTGTGTGGTACACTAAGTTAAATTTTTAAAGAGTTAACTTACAAGAAAGAGGAATATAAAAGAATGAAAGGAATATGTGGCACCACAGAGTGGTATTTGTGCAAGTGAGGTTGGTAGGCACATCCAAATCATTTTATTGCTTTGCAGGTATGAAATCCTCCAGATTATTTTTGATATTGCAGAGCTTTCCATATTTAAAATCAGTCCGACTCTCATCATCAGTCCTTTGACTGAATATTGGTTCTGTTTTCTCAGGAGTGGAGGAGAAAAACAAAACTAAATTAGATCATCTTTCCACTTTTAAAACCCAGTTCATTATTTTTCATGACCTAATAATACAACTTTCTTCAAACCAGAAGGGTGGGCCGGGGATTTAGCTCAGTGGTTCCAGCGCCTGCCATGCATTTTCAAGGTCCCGAGTTCGATCCCCAGTATAAAAAAAAAAAAAAATCAAACCAGAAGGGAAATGTAAGACACAAGAAAGATCATGAAAATGAATTTCTACATTAATGTTGAGCATTAACTTTTTATCTAAGAAGCGTGACGATCTCATACTAAGAGCTTTCTCATGAGACATTAGGTGATGCTATTCTGCTCTAGGAATAATTCTATATTAGGTGACAAAGAAAAGAGATTCTGAATGCTTTCCAGGAAACAAAGGTTATTTTTCAGTCTACACTTGGAAAAGTTTTACTGTAAAAAAAAGTGAAGAGAAAGGTAATAGCTCAAACATAATGAAAAGAGTCTGTATTTCTTAGGAGTCACATTTTAATTCAACTTGGCCATGGTGAAGAAACAGTATTTATCTCCAACTTCCTATCTAAAAATGTTCAAATAGAATCAGATTACACTGAATAATAATCTCATCAAATCCTTTTCTTGAACAATATTAATCTGCTACCATTGTTGACATTTGTTTCTTAGAAATATTCTGTTGAAGAGCTTGGCTTTTACTTGGAAAAGGGGATTTAGAAAACAGACAATGAGAACTTCAGTATAATCTTACATGTTAAAATTTCAAATTAAGATATAATCATGATCCATCTAGATGATATTTTTAGGATCACAAACTTAAAACCTAGCATCTTGTAGCAATTCTAGTCAGAAGCATTTATAAATTTTTAGTATTTAATGTTGGATGGTTTATGTGTGTTTTCCTTCATAATAGTTTTTTATTCCTTTTGGCATACATTTTATTCATTTTATTCTTGTGTTAGAAGTTAAAATTCTATAATCAGAGAATGCATACTTTCACTGATATTCATAGGAAACTTTTAATGTACACTTTATCTTACATTTTTGATTGACTCCAATTACTTAAAAATTCTCAGAAAATGCTATAATTGGATTTATACATTTTCAAGTTTTCTTTGATTATATAACTATAAAATTTTAAACATTAATACATATCTTGTAATGACATATTTGGTTAACTTTACTTCTGGACTAAAAAATTCTAAATAATGGATTCTGACAATTAACAAAATTCTTAGAGATCCAAATTTTGTACTTGAAAGAGGAGATACCTAATATTTATACTATGGTCAACTACAGAGACGTGGCTGTATTTTTACAGCATAACAAGGAAAAAAGATTAGAAAAAGAGAAAAGTTTGGTAAGATATTTACCCAATAAAATGCCACTAAACTATCTGGTAGTATTTAGCTCTATTTGTGATAACATTCCAAAACAGCAATGCTTTCCATATGTTTAATTAAGGATTTATTGAAAAGAATCTCCTGTGTGACACCTACAGTTTGTATCACTAACACAAAATAAAGTAACTATTAATTAAACTTTGAGACCAGAACAAAAATGACAATCCTCAACCCTGAAGAAAATAAGACAAACGAGGCATAAATTTAAGTGATATTCAGAATAAGTGAACAGCAAGCGCAAGGTCCTGAGTTCGATCCCCGGTATAAAAAAAAAAGAAAGAAAAAAGAATAAGTTAACAAACTCAATGTAAACATATTCTAATGTATTTCACTTTCATAGTAGAAAAAACATCAGAGTAAATTAAGAGAGGCATAAATAGATTTTTGGTCATTTAATGAATTGGTAGAAAAGGCTGTTATGAGTTTTCTTATGCTATGAAAATATATTTGCAGCAAGTTCACACAAACAGAACTGTTATAAATATAGTAAGATATATTAGACATTACATTTGGTAAAAGAGCATCATTTCATTCCTGAAAAATTCTATTAAACACTTAAATCTGTTTGTGTCTCAAACATTTCCTAATAGATGAATGAATGCAAATCACATAAAATATGTCATGAATCTTTTTGTATTTAAATTGTAATCCACATTACTCTCCAATATATTGAATTTATCTTATACATAGCACACTACTTGTAACTGAAATACAATTAGAATAAGCCTTATGAAGGTAAGACATATTTTTAGGGCTGTCTCTGTAGGATTAAACCTAGGGCAATATTAGTTATCCAGTGAATACTTGTTAGATTTACTAGGAAAAAATGCATTATTGAATTTGCTGCCAAATAAGTTAATTTCTGTTGTAGTTCCTAATATTAAATTATATTCTGCGTAAATCAAAGAATTAGTTATCTTTTCCCATTAACACTCTCTGTAGGTTATCTCAATTGGCTCTATTTAATTAAGTCAGGGACTATTTTTGGTTCCTTCAAAGCTGGGTACAGAGTTTTTAGTGCTATAGTATGCCAGGCACAAAGAGATACACAGTAAACATTTTCTGAAAAATCTATATATAACATCACAAATGTAAAGTTTTTTTTTATATATATATATATAATTTATGGTCAGAGTTCTTATAAG